CTTTCCTGCCTGGGTGAGCTGCACCCCTTGTGGCTCAGTTTGCTCGGTCTGCACCAACAGTGTATCCGATGTGGTCACCTTCAACCCTGTAACTGTCGAGTCGAAGGGGGCGGGAGGGATTCAAAGTTTCCTTTGCTCCACTGGGTTCTACCTTCCCCTCCCCATTCTGTGTCTCCTAAAGGTTCTGGGTGTTTTCCGACTGCTGCCCAGTGTTTGTGTCCTATTGTTTATCCTTGCCCATCTGAAGCAATGTCTGAGAGGGTCGTGATACTGCTTGCTTGATCAAGGCACCGTTTTGCTGTGCGTTGTGTGCCTTTCCTCGCCCACTCGTCCATCCAGTGCTGTTGCTGTGTTGTGTGCTGTCTTGTGGCAGCTGCTTCTGTGCTTCCTCCTGCCCCTATTCTGCTCCATGCTTCTCTGGTTGGGCCCCCCCTGCCTTGCTTCTCTTATCACCGCCGGAGGCATCTGTGGGGATGGGAATGTCCCGACTGGCAGAAAGGCCCCCCGTCTCCCGGGCTGGGGCCTGAAATCGGCTGATGAATATGCATAGTAGTTCCTGACATGCCTACTGACAGTTGGCCCCCTGTGGGACTCCCTGTGCCAGTGCATGCTTGAGGCTGTTGCTGCTTTCCAGCAGCGGGATGAGTTTGCAGAAGTTCAATTCCAGAACTCTTCTCCCAGGCCCTCGTAATAGATGTGCAGGTTCTCCATAGTCCCAACAGGGGCCAAGCGGTTCTCCACTGCCTGTGGTTGGGAGGTGTGAGTTTCCTACCCTTCTTCTGTGCTGGAGGAGTACGTGGCTTTGGAGGCCTCTATGTCCTCTGGCGGGGGGGTTTGCTCAAGGATGAGCTCTGTGTCCATCGGTGCCAGGCCCGAAGGCTTCTTTGAAAACGTCTTCAGGCCTGCTTTTCCTCTGCATTCTCCTCATGGGTCACCTCCACCTCCTCACTGCCCGCGCTCCTTCCTTGCTCATCTGTTCTTTCTGCTCTATCTGGTCTGTCTGGACTCCCCATGTCCTGACTTTCTCTTTACTCTCAAGGGCAGTCTTCCTGGCCTGTTTGTAGGGGGAACCCAATCATTCGGCGGTCGTGAGTCCCAACAGGGCTCGCCCCGGCCCTCCCATACCCATCCTCTAACCTTCCCCTGCTGGTTCCCGTACTCTATGTAGACACAGCAATCATAGCCCGGGTCCACCGTGGGCCATGTGGTGCCCCGGAGGGGGTCACGATGTAGCCACCCCGTAGCTTTGACCTGCGAGTTCGGGTGGTGGGGGCAGGTGGTCTCTGTGCAGAGATGGCCATATGCTCTGCACTTATGGCACCACGGTCCATATGCAAGCATCACGTAGTCGTCCCGTTTTGCCACATAAGACAAACTAGGTCTTAGTGTAGTAACTAGTCATGAATCGTACCCCCGCACCCGGTGGCTACATGGATAGAGCCACATGCAGTGTAGGAGGATCTTGACTCTTGAGTGACGTTGTTGGGGGAGCCCATGTTCATGCTGCGCCGTTGAGCAGGGGTGGGCTGGATGTCACTAACGGCATGGTACCACTTTTGAACAGTCAGTCATGGCTGCAGTAGCTGAGGCATTCGGCTGCTAAGCAAGACAGAGTCATTCAATTACTTGGAGGGTCGACCAAAGAGTACAAACTAGGCCACAGTAACTAGCCAGGGAATCGTACCTGGACTGGTTGTTGCGTGGATAGGGCCACATGGGTTTTAGGAGGGTTTCAAGAGATGTTGTGTGGGGAGCGTGTGCTCAAGCTGCGGCCGTGCATGGGTGGCTACCGGTATGGTTCCGCTTGTGAACATCAACGCCGCAGTGGTTGAGGCACTGCCGCTTCAATTCCTTGCGGGGTTGACCAGAGAGTACACACAAGTACTGGGGGGTTAAGGAAAAAGTGCAGCCTTGAGATGTATCCACAACTGCCGAACCCCGGGTAATGCAGTTATGGTCTTGATTATCCACTATTTGATTATAGGGGTAACTTCAGTAGATTCACAAAGACGAGTTATAATTCCACTATCGGGAAAGATACATTTCGCAATTGCACTTCGGGCACCCTACCTGGCCAGAAAGATGGGTTATATACATTGCCCGAACTGCAATCCGAAACTGTATCTTGGCCCATAGTGCAATTATAACTCATTTTTGTGACTCCTGCATAGTTTCCCCTTTGACTGGGGTAACTTCAGTAGAGTCACAAAAACGAGTTATATCTGAATGCACCTCTTTTCATTATCTTAGACCAGCACAACGTTGAAAAACCGTACCATCAGGCACCTGCAGCTGACTGCAGGGTGGACATGTAGGCTTGGGTACACGTGATCATTGGGTTTCCAGCAAATGCACCGACTTTGGCAATTTTTCATGCTCAGAATAATTGATAAAAAAAACATGAAGTATAGCAACATAGACTTAGTGCTGTTTATTTATTTATTTATTTATTTATTTTTTATTTTTTTTAAGCGCCAGTCAGTGCTAGTGGTGCTGGTAAAAGCAGACACCCCTTTCTTTTCTTTTTTCTTTTTTTCTTTTTTTTTTTTTTAAACACGTGCTCCATTTATTGGTGGGGACTCGGGAGCAGCACCTGCTGGAAACCGGGTCCAGCGTCCCATAGATACAACCATATCCTCTCGAATTGGCACAAGCTGGGAACCGGGCCCAGCTTCCCATGAGTACGTTCAGAAAAACCATCAGAAAATTTCATGACAATGAACCTAAGGATATACTGAGAAAGTCCAATTGAAAGAATTGAAAGAATTTAGAGCTACTTCAGAGCTTTTTTGTAAGGGACTTCAGAAATAAACAAAAAGCAGAAGAAGACTCGGGAATCCACCAACAGTCCTCCTCACCCCACTTCGGCAAGACTTACTGCAGCAAAGCCACCATCTCTACTGCTGCTATGCCCTATTTCTGTCCTACCAGCTAGCCCCTTCGCTAGCAGGACGCGTGATACCTTTCTCTCTCGATCCCTTTCCTTCCCGTTACACAGAAAAAGGTACAGGAATAGACTGCAAAAGTCCTAAAAAAGCCCCCAATCCCGCAAAATCCCTAACAGATCCTTCCAAGGATCTCCAACACTGTCGTATTCCCTGCCGAGCTTCCAGGCCTCACACCCCCCATCCTGCTGGGTTACAGGGCAACACAACTCACCCCAGCTCCGGCCAGCGTCGTCTCAGCAGCAACCCTTGGTTGTCCCGTGAGATGCCCCCAAAGCACCCCTTTCTGTAAAACACCAATGAACCAAATATTTCTTGATGTGTTACGATCCTGGTCATTCCAAAAGTGCAAATTCACAATGAAAGAGAATGCCACCCAATTGCGAAAGAAATGAAAGCACTTGCAAAGAGATAGAGACCAAAGAAGAGAGAAAGAAGAAGAAGAAGAAGAAGAAGAAGAAGAAGAAGAAGAAGATGTACACCAGCAAGACCAATGACAAAACCCCCTTCTCTCTCCACCTTCCTCCTCCTTAACTTCACCAATCTTATTCTTCTTCCAATAATAATAATAACAATGAGTGGATGAACCAGAATCAATATCCGAAGTTCCCTCTTACTGCTGACACAACAATAGCTCCACCATAGCTATGGCTTCCCCCTCTTCTTCCTCCTCTCACATGGCTAGGCTATGGCAGACTACTGAGGGATCTGCCCTCCTGTGCAAAGGACAACGCAAAGCAGCTATGTCGCTGCACTCCTGTCCAAAGGACAACCCAAAGAAGCTACGCCGCTGCTGACTAAGCCGCCATGCCTGACTCTGCCTCGAGCTTCCTTGGTGCGGCACTACCCCAACTGGGGCCTTCCAGATGCAGCGCCCAACAAGGTGATGAACATGGTGTCCACCATAGCCAGGTAGGTACCTCGCCACTCTCCTCCTTCGCCCCCTTCTTCCTCCTCCTCAGGCTGGGCTGCTCGCCATAGCCAGGCTGAGCGCCCAGCTGCTCGTCACCTCCAGGCAGCGCTGCACAAGTCCAGCGCTTGGCTCCAGCAGCATGTCGCCAATCCTCGCATACCGCAAATGAGGAGGAGCTTCTTGCTCCTGCAGAAGATATAGCGCCCTACTGGCCTCTTGGGCGGTGACTTCCCAGGCCGAGCGGCCTCCCAGCAACCGGTACCTCCTCCCTTTCAGAGGGAACACATCATCACAGGCTCTGCTATCGTCCGGACAGGCCCTAGAATTGGGCTACTTGGACTGCTACCGGCCTAAATCTAACCTACCGCTTCTGGGCCTCTAAAAATGCCAACTTTTTGTCTTCTTCTGCTCGGCCTCCAGTACCCGACACTTCTACCACTACTTGAGTCGTACCGGCCTACCTGCTACTTGAGTGTTTTTTTTTTTCCTGCTGCTCTAAGTGTCGTGGGCCTACCCCCGCTACTCGAGTGTTTTCCCCGCTGCAACCCTCGAAGTCACAGCCACAGGTAAGTACTGGCCCTGCGGGACCTTTCAACTAACAAGTACCCTTGCGGGCCACACACACACTCAGCCGACAAGCACTCAGACAGGCACGCACACAGGCACAGACTTGAAAACCACAGCAGAATGCGGGAACCTCAGCAAGGCATTCATTCCAGTGGCAAATCCCAGAAATCAGCAGTGTTCTCAGTCTGTGTTTTGGCGGGTCATTACAGATGCCAAAAAAATGCAGCTGGCAAAAGAACACTTTTTTTTTTTCTGTGCGGCTACAGGTAGGCCCACATCATTTTGGTTCCACGGCCCAGGCTTTGAAAAAAGTGCCGTTTCATTGAAATTGCGCTGGGGTTAGTGGCGATTTAAGGGTCTTGCTGCACTACTGTCCGCTATACAGAATTTCGTATAGCGACCGTATAGCTGACCACAGCTAAAAAAATCGTATAAACCGTGGCGTCCCTCCACTTCCTATCTGCTATACAAGTCTCCACTTCCTCCGTTCGCTACAAAATACCCGGACAGCACTACACGACAGCAATTTGCCGGCCCAGACTCCAGGTGCTCCATACGATTTCGCAATAAAACGCCGACCTCCTTCAACCACCCTCCAACGAGTAACAACGTTTGCAGGCTGGGAACTATACGGGATCGTATGGTGAATTGGGAGGGCGCCATCCGACAACTATACGGAGATCATTTCCGGAGGTACATTTCGGATACGAAGTGGAGCGGTGTCCCACCATCCGGAATCGTACAGCAGATATAGTAAGTGGAGCGAGACCCTAAGTTTCCTCTTTTCCCTGTCGGAATTGCTGGAGTGAAGTTGTTCTGCCTGTCGGAATTGCTGGAGTGAAGTTGTTCTGCCTGTCGGAATTGCTGGAGTGAAGTTGTTCTGCACAATGTCAGAATCTGTCCCGGGTTGAGTTGGGTGAGCAATAGTGTGTATGACCTTGCTGTTTTTGTCGTTTATAGCTGTATGCACAGTGGACGCTGAACAGTTTGAAGTTGCAACCCCCGCCCCCCCACCCCACACACACACACACACACATATGGCATTCACCATTTTGAAGTTAAATGTCAGATTCTGCCTGCTTGCACAGAACCTGTCTCTTATACACATCTAGATGTGTATAAGAGACAGGCTGCGAACACAGGGCCTGTAGGCCCTTGTTTTCAGGCTTTTAAGGCTGAAACGACACAGGGCCTGTAGGCCC